TAATACAGTGTCCATAAATATACTGCAGTATATTTCTAGACACTGTACTTCTAAGTTACATGCAGGCGCAATGTTGAAGAAATATTGATGGGCACATAGGCAGTCCTGTCTGTTGCTGCCTTGCTAACCACTGCAAATTGTCTCTTTCTTTCTTACTCTCTTTCTTTTTCTAGCTTCTCCTTTTTTGTGCATGTAATTTCTCTATCACCCCCGTCCCCCTCTTATTTATTTTTCCTGTTTTATTTCTCCTCATCTCTTCTGTACTCGTTGTCTCACCCATCAGAGTTACAGCATTCCTCGTCGGAGCGATGAGCCCACGTGTTTCGACAGCGGAAGATGAAGACGCTGAAGAAGCGGGCGAATAGAACACGTGCCGGTCTCTCGGAGCATGCAGGCGGGGCGCAGCTGTCGCATTGTTTGTAAGGCAACGCCGAGCGATTTTTTTTAGATGCGGAGCATCTTATACTCGCGCCTTGTAGTGCGCCGTCCGCGCCGTCCGCACCGCTTCTCGAACATTCGACAGCTGACGCGCGCGCATGCGCCGTCGCGCCGTCGCCCACTCTTCCACCATCCGTGCATCCCTTCCTCCTCTACACACCGCGCGCGCTTCACTCCTCCACCATCTGTGCACCCTTCCTCCTCTACACACCGCGTTCGACATCTACAATTCTCCTGATTCTCCAGTGGACGCGCATGTGGCGTCGCGCTTAGAGAACATTCAACAGCTGACAGTGCATGCGCCGTCGTGCTGTATATATACTCAAGGTCGGCGCTCGCTCGCTCAGTTGCCGCTCGTCGGTTGGTTTGTACGGCGCGTCGACGTCCAAGGTCGCGGTGAAATGAATTCCAACGAATCCACAAACACAATGATCGACGTCCCTTCGACCAGCGCCGCCCTTTCGCATACGTGTGTACGTGTTCACTCATTTAACACCCCCTCCTACAACCACGTTAACCAATTTAGCCATCGACCCAAGTAAGTCGCAATTTAACACCCCATTTCACAACCACATTAACCAATTTAGCCATCGATCCAAGTAAGTCGCACTTTAACACCCCGTTAACCAATTATATGGTCCGCATCCTCCTCAGTGTTCCCCCGAGGGAAGCTGCGGGCATTTTTTTTTTTTTTAAGGTGGGCTGAAAGAGAAGCTGGCATATACACAAAATGCCTACCGAAAAGTTTCGTTTCACTCTGCATTCCCTACTGCAGCATACTACAGCCCGAACGATTTATTCGGCGAATGAATATAGCGATAATAAAATCGGTGTTTTAAGTGCCGAAAACATAAAGGTTTCGGAGAACACGAGGAGCTCACATTCTAAAGCCATGATTATGAGGAGGCGAACTGTAGCGAAAGGGTCCTCCGGAAATTTCGACCATTTGGTGTTCGTTAACGTGCAATGACATAGCAAGCTACACGGGCTTCCACCTTCTTCCCTCCACTTATTACGTTCGCTATTTCGTGCTTATCTGTACATTTTGTATACCTTAAATTTTTTTTTCTTTACCACTCTTTACTATTGCGTTGTATCGCTCACGTATGATTTTATAGGAGGTCTCACTCACAGTCTCGCGACTTTGAGACCTCCTTCTGTATTTGTACATAACACGTGCACTTGTATCACTTGTATTTCAATTCTGAATTAAAAAAAAAATAAATTTTAGTTCATATGCGCCCCCCACGACGGCGACTTTCGGGTCAGCAGCCGGGCACTGCGAACACGGTAGTGATCCGATGAACGAATGTTTACGAACTTCAAGCTCACAGAAAAATCTCAGAGCAGTTCGTTACGAGAAACGTTATCCGGCGGTAATTTAGACTCCGAGAACTTTTTTTGGTTCATTACTTTACGGCGACACAGATTGCGGATCTCTTTATCCTTTTCTCTTTGAACTCGCACTTCCTGGAGCATTCTCTTCTAACGAACCATACAACTTTTTTTTTTTTCTCTTCTCTCGCTTTTTCCTTACTTTCTCCTTTTAATTCCCACTACCACATCCCCTGTGCCGACATTTTTAGGCGTCATCGAAACGATAGACAATTACGCGCGGTACTTTTCTCTTCTTTTCCTTGTCATAATCACCTAGAGAGACCACAATAACGTATGCCACAAAATACGACGGAATTCATAACGCAGATGCAGCAGATCAACGTTTTCCCTAATGTGCGTCAGCCATATGGTTTTCTTTTCTGTGCCAAATAAATTGATGACAATGAAGACACAAAAAGAAATCTACATACTAATTACTCTTGTCTTCAATACGAGTTCGCATTATGAGTAATTTCAGAAAGAATCAGAACTATTCCCACGCAATCGCGCCTCGTTGGGTAACGAAACTCATCTAGGTTTTCGTCCGGATAACGGCGTCGGTTCGTGCGAGACATCCAACAAATCAAAGGTATTCACCCCCCCCCCCCCAATCTCTCGCACGTACAGACACGCACTCGACGTCTTATAATGAACGCGACGCATTTCCCAGGAGGGAAAAAAAAACTAAAGCAGTACTGATTACGAGGCCAGGCAATCAAAAAGTCAACAAAATTCGAACGCGTAAACTGAAGCGCATAACGCTGCTATAGCCGTAGTGCAATCTAAAACGCTTGAGCCCGACTGAAGCCCAGCGTCTGCGTATCGTACACAAAGCCTTACAATGGATCGCATACTGTGCATTGATTGAAAATGAAAGACAAAAAAAATCTAGAGAGAAAGCTGATTAGGAGCGGCGCGCTGATTTTCCACGGTAACATGGAAAAGGCGATCCCAATTCGAGCGAACTTTTCTGCCGTGGGACGTAAGGTCCGGCGACTACGGTGCGGGAACGGAGCTAACAAACTGCATGTTTGGAAGCTCTGTTGCCACGGCGGCAACACGCGTCAGGAAAAGAAAAAAAAATACATATGGCAGCTCCACACTAGTCAAGCCCCTATGCTTCGTAAAAGTACCGCCATCTGCTCTTCCTTTCGCCGCCTCCTCTCCGGCGCGTTGCTTTTTTTTTTTTTCTTTCGCTTGCGACAGTGAGCGCCCCCTGTCACGCGCCACAAGCTTCCTCCGGCGGGGAGAGGAGGAAGCGGCGCAGATCAAAAGAAGGCTGTACTTTTCCGAAGGTATGGGGACTTTACGCACTAGTGGTGCCAAGCCTGAAGGAAGAGCGCAGCGGGGTGACCAGCCGCCTTGTTTCTTTTTTTTTCCACCGTTTATTGTCCTTTTTTAAAACCATAGTCTTTCTTGGGATACTTGAACGCAGAAACTTTGGTCTGTCTGTGTGTCCGTCTGTCTGTCTGCCCATCTGTCTGTCTGTCGGTTTGCCTGTCTGTCCGTGCGTCCACCTGTACGTGCATCAGTCCGTCCTTACGTCCGTCCATCCGTGCGTCCCTCTGTCCATCCGTCCATCTGTCTGTCTGTTTGTCTGTCTGCATGTCTGCGTGACTGTCACTGCCAGTTAAGCCGGCAGCATCAGAGTATAAATTGAAAGGAAGGCAGGGAGGTTAACCAGAATTGTAATATCCGGCTTCGTGTACTCTGCACTAAGGGGAGTGGGGAAGGTGAGAAGGAAAGCGAAAAGTAGATGCGCGAAAAAAAAGAACAGTGAACAAGAGCAGGGGTGTATGCTGTAGCTTATTCAATAGGCTACTCCCATGCAAAAAGTTCAATAAGGCCTTAACTGATTTACCTTAACGCACAGACTGTTGTTATAGGATGCATTCCTTCGCCCTTGTAGCGAAAGAGCACAAATAAACGGTCAACTACCTCTGTGAGGACATGTTTCACTTTCGTGTTATATACCCATTCCTATGACAGACGGATCAACCATGTTTTTTATCTCTTTTCTCTTTTTTAACGAAGTGCTTATATATGATCTCTTTCACAGCAGTATACTGCGGCGCAATAACGGTTCAATATACAAGGTCTTTCTCATAAGAGCCAAATATTTTTAAAATGGTTAACGACCCCTCAATGTAGCCAACGAAAAAAGGGTTGCAGTCATGTGACGTTTGTTACAGCATTCCTAATATTTCGCTTAATTCATTATTTAACAAGCACCAACTACATAAAGTTTCTGATATTCACTTTCGGGCGAAGTGCATTTCTTTATGTCAAAGGCATTCTAAAAAATGACGGAAGCCCCGTAAAAATCAAATAAAAACACCTTACTACGCTCATGTGCTACAGCAGATGCGCTAACGTACAACAGCGCTTTCGGCTGTGCATCTAGCGAAACAACCGGCTAAGAGACGACGGCGCTTCCTTGCTATACGCGGTCGTTAAAAATGCTGACGCACTGGGAAGCCGATGTTAAATTTCGCTCGATGGATGAATACCACTTAAACAATCTAAAAGTGGTTGGGCTCCTTGACATCCGGGTGCACTGTGGCCGACATGTCTAGAGGTCGTCCGAGCAAATGTAAAGTCACAAAGCGTGTCTCACGTATTTTCTTTCCTCATGCCATCTCTCCCAGCTTAGATTCCAGCGCTTTCGTCGGAACGAGAGAAGATACAATGCAATTGCAGCATACGACAAATATTTGTAACTCCGCTTGCACAGGACAGACTCTAAACAATTTCATGGAGGTGAATTCGTGAGGCAATAAGCTCCTCTGATGAATCCATTCCATGGCTACTTGAAAAAGTGTTGCAGGGCACCTTTAAGTGCAAGGTAGCTAACAAATTATGAAAAATGGTGGTTGCAAGAACAGTGAATGCGACAGGATGCCATGTTAACACGGTGAAAATTTGGGATATATGAATGTAACACAATATTTTCATGTCTAGATATCGCAAACAAAGATGTATTTCTTATGATGTAGAGTGAATTACAGTTGGAGAAAAAGTCTACCATCCTCACAACACCCTTTGCCTTGCTTTACACTGATAGAAACACAACAAGATCGGTCTGTCAGCTGAAACATTTACTTTCTACATGAAAACAGTACACGTAATTGTCTCTACAACCAACGAAAATGAAGTCTCCAAGCGCAACTGGTGATGAGAAGACTTCATTGTCCAAATGATATGTGCTGAGCACTTCACCGCGATGACTACCAATTACGCACAATTTTCCTTGTGTGCTTGCACCAACACAAGTCTTCCCGTCATGAAAACAAAATAATGTTGAGTAGATGGGAGCACTGAGAAGGTCTTCCAAAGCACGCTCCCGTCCTTACAGGAAAGTTTGTAGACATAATTATCGTGGCACCCAACAAATAAACATGAACCTGCATCTCCTCTTGACACTGAAAGGGTTGAAAATATAGGGCCACCAGTTTCTGCAATCCATAGCTGCACATAGACGAGAACAGCGTCAGTGAAAGCCTCAGACAGCCTTCTGAAGCAAGGAAGTACAGAGTGCAAATGAGATATGAAAATACGAAACACAACTTTTCGGCACACATGTAATATTATCAAACCACGTGCTCACATTAATGCATGCATGCTTTATTAACTCTTAACCTTCCAAAAGTAGACCTGAAGACAATTACAAGTGATTGAGGGAGAAGATACAGCAGGTCACTTAGAAACAAATATCCTGTTCAAGAAACAATAAATTTTATTAGGTGACAACATTATAGCACATTACAAGCTTGGCATCATTAAACTGCAAAAGGTGAGAAAAAATAAAAATTGCTTCACAACGACTTTATAACAACTTTCTAAAGTGCCTGTTGTATTCATACATGATAACACTGAAACTGATTTGCGAGCTGCGTACAGGCAACAGCAAAACTATGAGGTGGGAAGCTCACAAAAAAAGCTATATTTACACTTCGCACATTCAACATGCAAATGAACAGGACACTGAGTCAGTTAACTGCTGAACAGGTGATGTGTAGAGAAAGCTTTTTTCATATAGTTAGTAGTGCCACATAAACATTTTGATGTTTGTTCTACCTTATGAACACTTAAACTGCCTCTGACGCTTGCATGCAGCAAATTCACATGCATGCAAGCATGCACACACGCATGCACACACACAATCTTTCACAATGATTTTGCAATGTATCTCTCGCTCATTAAGCCTGCAACATGCTACATTGCATTAGACACACTCTAGTGTCCATAGCCACGTCACCAGCTGCTCTATTTCTTCCAACACCAACAGATGGCACAACGCTCCGTGCACCCACAGCAGATAAAATGGCAGAAACACAAAACGGCAATACGAACACTATTAGAAGACAGGCATAAACGTATGTTGTTAAGAAAACACATGCACTTTGTGCTAGTTCTTCCTTGGGCTGTGCTGCCTTGTGTTTAACACCTTCCCATTAGGACACCTTTACGGTTTGTAGTTCACATAACTTGTTTCTCGCACCATTGCCACCCTTCACTACTTATTTTTTCACCTCTGTCCCTCTTACCCTGTGCAAAGTAGCAGGCTTGAGCGAACTAGCTCAGGCGGACCTCTCTGCCTTCTAATAAATAATCTCTCACTCTTTAGAACATTTGCTCTAAGTTTTCATTATGTCTCTCAAGGCCTGTTTATATGCCAAATCTGCCTGTGACTGTATGTAGCTATCTGTACAATCTGCCATCACTCTAGCCTGCCTGCAGTGTCGAACACAAGACATGGAACTTCATCAGTTGATTAAACATTGGCTGCTCTACTCTGCTCACATTCAACATTGGTAGAGCGATACACTTAGAGTGCAGTTGGGCAGAAGATCATGTTTGGTAAATTTCAGCTTATACATTGCCTGCACAGTATTCACACTCACTTCGTCAGCCATGCGAGACGAGTTCTGCAACTTTCTTTAATTGAAGAATCACTGGTGCATATTTTACTCAATTTGAAAGACATGCCTGCCACTTAGTATAGCCAGGAATGGGTTATATCAGCTGCTGAAACAACGGCTACTTTTGAAACTCGTGAACGTAAATGCTGATCATTTACCGCAAACTGAATACAAGGTATGGCATACCACCACTCACCTTATGCCATTTGAATGATTGAGGAGGAAAATCTTGCCGTCAACACAGCATATGCCCACTCCAAAGTCACAAACAGCAGGTGAAGAAAAGATAGGCTTTTCCAGCTTATAAGTCCATAGCACAGTCCCAGTCTCCTGAAGAAACATCCCCCATAAATCCCACCATAAAGAGATCCAAATGTTTGCACTAATGTACATCCACTGAGGCTATGCATGTTTTTAAAGCGTTATTGTTCAAGCACGCCTCTCACAAATGCATTGTTACGACTACTGCTGATACGTAAAACCTCGTTAATTCTAAGTCACTGGGGCTGCGAGAAATCCTTGAATTAAGCGGGTTTTCCAATTAACAGAACATACAAAAAGGGGGATGCAAGGAACTTAGAACTATTCAATGTAATGAGTGCTCGTTGTTTACTGTGCCGGCGAGTGTGACGAAATTCGGGATATGGTTTGGCTAAAAGCATGACCATTGAAGCTTTTTAGCTTAGCTTTCGAACTAGGCATTGCAAGCAAGAACTCTGCCAGCAGTGCAAGTGCACAAATAGCTGGAGCAACCGGCACTCATAGGTTCGCATACATCGCGAATTTCGCCAAACTATTCTTTGTTAATTTATTTACAATCTCAGAAAGAATGAGCAAACCATGACTCACTGACGTCGCGAGAAACATGCAATTTGCTGTCCGCGTGTCGCTGCTGCATTGCCGTGAAGCATGTCTCGTTTTCCACAGGCGCACTTTTCGGTTAATCACGAGAGAATTTTTTTCCCTTTTTTTTGCATTGTAAGTATCGAGGTTAAGGTGCTTCAGCTGCCACTCATTAGTAACGCTACGTTGCATTGCCCTGTGGCTATCAAGAGCCGTCGTTTTTGCGGATTTGCGGCGAAATCGGGATCTGGAACTAGCCCATGGCACTCAAAAGTTTTCGAATTAACCGGACTGGCGTCGGTTGCCGCTTCAAATTATCCACTCAAACTTACATAACAAAATATGGGACCACAAGAATACTTCAAAATAAGCGAGATTTCAAAATAATCGAGTTCGAATTGACAAGGTTTTACTGTACTACACATATATAAAGAAACTGGCAATCCTTCCAATACAATGACCGTTTTGGTGTGATTAGGCAGCAGTGTATTCATCGAGGGCAATGCAATATGATAATTGACAGTGACTGAAGCTAAGAAGATGGACAAAAGAAGACGTTTGAGACACCCCAGCACTACGGTTTCTTGAATTTGTCTTCTTTTGTCCATGTCCTTGGCCTGTGGTACCATTAATTATCATGTTACTATACTGACAAGCCCAAATTGCCACCCTCATCAAATACAATACTTTTGGCACATACATTTGTTATCTCCCAACTTACAGAGCATTTACCATAAAGTAAACATTTCTCTTAAAATTCTATAAGTAAGCTGGCTTCCACCAGTTAAAACAATCACACACAGCCACACAAGAAAGGCTGTGTTAAATTTAGTTTGATATTTGTTACTGCAGAGATGGAAATAGCACACCTCCATGATTTTGTAGCATCTGTCCACGTGCAACAAAATGCTTAGCACCCCTTAGGGAGCAGTGGCATATTTTGAAGCAGTAAAGTGGAAACCCTGGAGCTGCGCTGGAAGTGGGAGAAGAAACTAATGCATTAGAATATGAAAAGGTAAGTGTTTTGTATGTGTTTCGCCAAATTAGTCAAGTCTAGGTGATGCATTAGCACGGTCATACATGGCAAATATGGGTCAACTGTGCGCTGTAAAAATGCCTGAAGCACAGCATGCTAGTGAAGAACGGCAATGAGAGCAGAGGCAGGAGTGTTACAGCCGCAAGACCTGAGGGTTGTGAACAAGAAGCTCGACACAAGCGATTGGTGGGAGCAACACACAAGTGAACGCCAAGGGCTCATGAGTGAGATGCACCCATAAAACAAGTGGTGTTTCTCATAAAAGCATTTGGAGTTAGACTTTTCTGTGAACAGCAGAGAAAATACGTTAGCATATGGCGTTTCTCTACAGCTGCACTTATCACCCACCACCATATTGTTCCAAACCTTTTAATATAGCTAAAGTTAAGTTATCCGAGAGTATCAATAGGCAAGTCCAGCAATGATACCACTTAGCATGAATGCAAAGAAACAAATTTTAGGGTACTAGAAAATGGAGGCAGGGCTGTCCGATTGCAGTTTCCCATTGATTTTAGACATACTGCCATGTTTATCAGGTTGAGCTCCTTTTCTTTCAGTGATTTGCAACAAAAGTGTAAGCTCACAGTTTAAGAACAAATGTGTAATTGTTCTTTCCTAGCAATGTCACAATTACATTCATATCATGCAAGTTGATCCACACATAAGCCGGTAAATCTAGCAATTGTAAAAACGTTCATCAAAATGGGCAGTAGATTGACAGGCTAGGACAGCATGCCGTCCCCTAACTTAGGTGGCTTCCGTGCAGAAATGGTGATGTAGCTGCTGTACGAGCTCCTCTGTTTTATGTCATTAGATGTACCAGATGCATGTTCTAAAATGTACTTGAAGAATGTTCACAGTACTTGTCCCGTTTACTCTCATAGGCCACAAGACTGCCCAACAATTCATGTGCTCACTCAAGTTGAGCTGTTTGTAATTGATGCTACTACTAATCTATATGTACTGAGCTATTTAGTACATCCGTTGGTGTATATTTTTTTTTGTGTATGGTTTGTACGCAAGACGTGGTTGTTTGTAGTGGGCTCACATTTTCTTTCGGGTCCTGTACTAAGTGATTTATCTGTTCAGTACATTTTTTTTTTTCCTTCTCTTGTTGTTATTGTTGTTGTCATTTTTTTTTTTTTCTCTTTCAATGGCGCAATGGATGCCATGTTTGTACGCAGGCTTTTTTTTTTTATGTACTGAGAACACCATTGTACGCTGGTGCCAAAACGGGGGCCCGCAGCTTCGTCAAGCTATCCTTGCGATGGCTTTTTTTGCCGGCCTCCGGCATTGTGTACTATGTACATGATGTCAATAAAGTTCACTGTTCACTGTTCACTGTTCACTGTTCACCGTAAAATCCCGAACAAAGGCTCTTCCTATAGTGAAAGGTAATTGGACAATATTTGAAGGAGGGACCCTTGCCTGGATGCAGACAAAAATTCAAGATGGTGGCAGAAGAGTCTCTTAGAAGGGTGCACACCCGTGCTTCAAGTGAAGTGCTTTAGTCAATATGCATGCATGCATTTACTCTCCTCACTGAACCGAAGGGAATGGTCACGTCCTAATCAATGCACTATGGCAGGGGCAGAAAGATGTCTTTAAGATGTTCCGACAATTTCTGACAACTCAGAATGCAACCTCAAGGCAAAACACTAAATCTACTAAGACACTGCGCGTGCATCCCAGAAATCGGGTTAACCGCTGTCGCAGGGTTCTGTAGTGGAGAACAGGTTGAAAAAATAAGTGGTGGAAGGGGAGGTGGTGCTCGCTCGGTCATTGGAGCACACCCCAAACTTCCAGAACAGAGGAAAGGGGTGCTTGCTCCCATAAAGGTTCTTGCTCGGGATTTAACGGCGACTGGCAAACTTCTTGTCTTCTTGTGGTAATATAACCAATAAAAGTAATTAAAAAAAGTGCACAATGAAAACGAAGACGAGAGAGAGAGAGGCCTCACTTGTCTTTGTTTTCTTTATGCACTGTTTATTATTTCAGAAAATGAACTAGCACCAACTAGCCCAACTTGCCAGTTTGTTACGATAACAGTAACTTATGGTAAGAGCATAACATTGATGTTGACTATTATGTGCAGAACTCACAAATCTATGCAACAGCAACGAAAACAAATTGAAGCTTCACAATGTGAAAGCAAGAATGGAGAATGACATCAGTAGATTCAATCTTACAGGAGATAATGCTGCAACCAATCCATCGAGTGTAGCTCCATATATCTGGTAAGGCTGATATGAAACGCATGGAGACGCAAAGATGCTTCCTTCTGAAAGCTGCTGCTTCCACAGAAGGCTTCCAGTCTAAGAAATGATGCATGAAGAAAAAAGTTTCATGGATACACACAGCTTAGGAAACACAATGTTAGCCATCAGCAAAAAACCTGCAACACCTCTTCAACTTGCAAATGGTAATACTAAGTAGCTAGATTACACTGCCATGAACATATTAGCCAACTGCTCAATTATACAAAAGCACAGACACTACATAATGGTGCACAAATAAAGTGTTAAATAATAAAATTTTCTAAGTGAGATAAGCATTCCAGAGAAATGATATTCACATGAAATATTTCATAATCTTTAGATGAACAAATATATTAAGGTTATGTTAGGTTCATTTGGTAAACAAAAGTTATCTCATTATTTCACAGATGTACATTGTTCAACCCGTGAGTGGATGTCCTTTCAAAAGAGTAAGCTTTGAAAAAGAACAGAGTCGATTGTGCGGGATTAACCGTGACAATAACAGCAATAAAAAATAGAAGAGCGGGTATCCAAATGCATGTTCATTTATATGGCCAAGCGAAACTACACAGCTGTGCACATTGTTATAAAAGCATTTCGAATATGCCAAAAATCAGTCAAGTATGAAATTGCTGTGCTTAAATTCAGACAGCATGTTTGTAAGGTGCTTAATGAAGAGGCAAAATAATGAGTGACAATAAGTTAATGAGCAGGAATTACTTCTCCCGAGTGCGCACTCATGAACTCATGGTATATCTGTGACACATCTACACTACTGTTGCAGCCGAGCTGCAAAATCCACAAGTATACTCAGAGTTGTTGTTTTTTTCTTTCAAAATGAAAACAAAAAAGGTAATCTTCACATTCGAATGGAAATTAGTATTAATAGACCACTGACAGCAAAATTTTGGTTGGTGACTTTTTTGCTGAAATTCGTAGCCTTGCATCTTGTAATGCCAATATTACATCATAAATGCTGTAATGTATTATATAATCAATGCTAGGGTCATTTATTGTTACCAATGTTAATGCCACTTGAAAACACCCACCTAAAATCGCAAGAAAACAGTGCACCACAGTGGGGGAGTGCCTGAGACTACGTGCGCTCAAGTTTGGGTGACGCTAAAGATGCATTTTTTAAATAGGGGAACCCACATTCAATAAAAAATGAAACTACGTGGGTGCTTTGAGCATGTCCCCGTCAGGAAAAAGAAAAGCATTTCTTGTGCAAGCAGTGAAAACCACCTTAAAAGTGGCCAGATAACAGAGCGAGAGGGGTGAGGAACAAGAGCCCTTGCAGGGTGCCAGTCATGGTTTTGTGAATGCTCCTTGAACGATAGTTATAGTGCGAGAAAAAAACGACGACACAGAGACAAGAAGGACATGAAAGACACTGTCTCTGTGTCGTAGTTTTGTTCTCGGGCTATAACTATCGTCATGCCATACCAACTAGCCCAAGCTGCCACGCCCCTTGAACGTTCCGCGACATCTACAATACTCACTTTTTGTGTGGAACGTCACAAGGGGTCTGTCTACGTCATGCTAGTGACGCTGTCGTGAGGTGCTGAAGACTTAGATGAACACTCACCATTACTTTAAAACCAAATGAAAATATCTCAAGGCAATGTATGCTAGACATAATTGGTGAGAAATGCCCACACATGCAGGACTATCAAACAAACAGGCATCTCGAGTTTTCAAATTTGGTGTCAGGGGTCTTCAAAAAGTCAAATTCTGAATTCTTGAATACTGAGTTCTATAACATTTAGCAAATGCTATTCAACTTGAATTTCATACTTGAAGTCTTCATAGAGACTTCAAGAGACTTGAAATTCTGCATGCCATCTTTAACTTTCTGAAAAAACTGCAATTTTCAAAAAATAAAAAATACAGGGAAAAAAAGATGAGACACGGGAGAGAAGAAGAGAGGAACGAGTGCCTTGTCCTGTCTACTTGTCTCTTGCGTCTCATCTTTTTCACGTTCTACTTTTATTTTCAGACAATGCCCCAACTCGTACAGCATCGCACTCTGCAATTTCAAGTCTGCATTTCTAGGTACTCAAGAACATAGTAGCCGTAAGTTGGATACCTTAATATGTTCATGAACAGATAAGTGCTTGTCAGAGAAACAAAAAAAAAATCTATCAAGAACAGGGCAGTGGCACCATCTGGTGCTAGAGAATGGTGTAATCAGATGACACCTTATCATGACATGTTGTGCCACGTGATCATCTTTTTTACTAATTTACTATACGTGCGAAAAAATAAAAGCAGTTGTCAGTCAGTGCTTGTCTGTGTTTGTTCCTTTTAGTCCTCCATCCAGGTCGCGCTACCCATGGCAAAACTATGCTTAATTACGAAATCGCCCAGCTAGCCATTCTGATTCAGAGAATGCTGCCACAATGCTGATTCTATGGCCTCTTAAACTGCGTGGCACCACTGATTTTAAAGCCAAACATATAGGTAGGTCCTCATGCACAAAGCGGCAGGTTTTCATGAGCATAGCGACACCGCTTTGAGGACCCTTTCAAATGAATAAATACACAAGAAGGCAATGGGGACCCAGCAAGCCTTTACTTATCAATAACTTCACTCGTGCGATGCTTACTTTGTTTAAGATAACAGATAAGATGAATTTTGCCTTTAAACACCAAACAATCATGATGGATGGCAACGTCAACACTGTGCAGAAATGCTCGAGTCTGTTGTCCCTTTACATTCTGCTACCTCATGTGACATGCACGCCACAGAAAATGTAAGTTTCATAGCTTAGAAGAGTGGCGGCTTCAGCTAGTTTTTAGGTTCCAACAACCAATATAGTGCAAACATGGAATGAAGGAAAGAGTAACGCACAAGGACAAGCACTGTTTTTTTGTGTGTTATGTTTTCCCTTGTCTCCAGTTTGCGTTATAGCTCTTTTCAGTATAATAGTTGTAAAGATGTGACGAGGGACAGAGTGTACTAATGCGAGCACCACCTAGAAGCGTGAATAACATGCGATGGAGAGGTGCAAGTGAGAGAAAGCTGTTCTGCAATGGGGTATTAACATACGCACACTTGACTTCTCGCAAACTTCTTGTATAAAAGGTTTCTCATTCACCTTCAAGGTAAAGTACCAGTGTGGGCAAATGCAGTTGCTTGGGCATATTTCAGTTTGTACGACTGCACTCACATGTGATTTTAGTCCGGTACAACTTTAAAAGGCAACAAAATTTCCACCTCAAAGGAAAGTGCACACGAGCCAGCACTAATTCGCTAGGCTCTAGACTGAATTCACAAGCCGCAGGGTCGCTGACCCCACCGTTGAAGAGCACGGCCAAGTACATGAGTGGAGCTATTTCATCGGTTACCCATTAAATCATAATCTTTGGTTCAATCACTAGTTGGTTTCATTTGGTTGTGCTGAAAAGGGAAGAAAACCACTCAAAACAATATCCCTTCTTCAGATAGCTGGCTTTGTTATACAAAGATCAATATAGGTTAATGCACTGTTTACATGTTTTAACATCTGTGTGCTGTGTTCTTTGTCACAGAGTACTTCAGGCCCCACAACACCAAAAGGCAATTGATGTGCACTTCGAATCTGGAATGCTAGTGCAGTGTATCTAAGATCTATAAGAAAGAACTCTTTCAATGCAGTATCATCCAATAGAATTGCTCACTCACATTCTCACTGATACAGTAGAGGTACTTGTCATGGGAGCCACAAAGGAACGAGCAGTTCTTTCTGTTTGTAGTGGGTGAGCTTTTGACTTCTGCACCGGTATTTATTACCCACTTGACACTGCCATCCACAACATCAGCACAGTAAATGTGGTGATCATAGCAACCTAAAAACAAAGCATCAAGAAATAAATTTAATGATTTGATCCAAAACATCGTAACCTCTTTCTTCCTCAGCACTCCAAAATATTTCCGAAACAAATTTTTGGGAAGGCCAATAATCATAGTTATAAACATGTTGTACTAAAAAGACAGTTGTGAACAAAGTAAATACAATCAACAGCCTGGTTAAAAATTCTAGAATTGCTGTTATAATTGACATCTGTCAATAAGATAATCATTACGTTGACATGGTAAAATAAAAACAGAATTTATGTCTTTATTTCTCAAGGCTACCATGTGAACATGCAAATGTCATGCAGTCACCATCACCAAATTGTCTACTTCATTTGTCCAGCTGCTTTTTTTATTTTGACAACACAAGTTTTTCCTTGAACTAGTCCTCTCTCACACGACTTTTCCATATTAAGGCAGACGTACAGCTCCAGTGAAATGCACACACCTAATGTCATCTAGGCAAGGCAAAAATACTTCAGATACATACCAAATGCAACATATTTGCCACAGGTGGAAAGAGTGGCCGAAGACTCTATCCTGTCGGCAACTGATATCTCCCAGAAGCAATTTCCAGATTTTCCATTCAAAGCACAAAAACGACCTGCATGAGATCCTATGAACACAACTGTGTCCTCCCTGTAACGGATTAACATAAACAAGTTTATATTTAACATGCCAGAAATTACGTGTGACAAACAGAAAGGCACATCTGACACTCTGCCTTTGCAGTGCATATAGCTGAAAGAAGAGTCAGCAATCTAACTTGGGGTGAAAGTTTCTTTACTCTTTTTTGTGCCCCCCCCCCCCCTTCTTTTGTTTAAACAGCAAAGCTGTAAACGGCACATCTTCTTTATATTGGAGTGTCCGTCCATGTCTACAAGAAACACCTGGCACTTTTTAGGGAGCAGTGGTGCACTTGGAAGCATTTCTGAAGCTTTTTCGAAGCATTGAGGTGATATGCCTAGTGCCTTCTATAGAGTGGCAGAAGAAACTAAAACATTAAAGTGAAAAAAGCTTTCTTGTCGACGCTGGGCATTTTGAAGTCAGTCCCCTATGCATCAAAGGCACTTCACTACAGGGCTACACATTCACCCTAGCAAAATATGAATATATCTGGGCTATATCAAAGCTTCGTATTTGCCATAAAAAACAAATACAAAAGGAAAACACTTTCTATGAGGGCTGTGTTGAACTGGGTAGTAGTAAAATAATAGCCCCTTGCAGGACAAAATCTGAAAATCCTTGGTGCCCTCAAGCAAGTGCTTTGCCATGTCAGCTGAATCTCGGTGGTGTCTTGACATGGTCATCCATAGCAAGTAAGGAGGGGACTGCTGCTATTGCGACAACCATGACCTAGTGCACTCCTGACATGCACAGATAACGGGCTTCTATGGGAGTGCATGTCCAACCACTCGCCATTAGTGGCATTTCAATAGCCTGTTCATCTGCTACTCTGCAGCCTTTCTTACGGTGCTGGAGGGAGAACGCTAGCAGTCGGTAACAAACTGGTGGCATATATGCGACTGGTTTTGCCAACTTAGACAGAGGGTTAAGTAACATATTCATAGCGGTCAAATAGTTATTGCACAGCGGCTGAAGAGGTCAGTAGCATTAGGCCAGCATGGGGTGGGGGAGGCATTTAAACCTGGAAGTATTAGTTAGCGCACATGCTATATACTCCATAAAGTGGAAGAAGGATCACTGCCGCTGTAGCTTAGTTGGTAGAGCATAGGACACGTCATTCAAAGGTTGCAAGTTTAGTCCCTGTCAGCAGCACGTTGTCTTTTTATACACCTCATTTTCCTCACATTTACATCATAATACAAATAACATGACCTATACATTCCCTGGCCTTCCTGTCTGTTGTCTCTAATTAATGTTGAGCCAAACAAAGTAGAACCAGCCCTTAAGACTATTATTTTTTCATTCATTCATTCATAGCGAGGGTCTCGTTCTGGCAAACTGGATCTTTAAGCAGCACTGATTGTTGGCCAAGATGGTGTGGATTCATGCTTAAAAAGCAGGGTAGAAATGGCGCCCGTCCTTGTGTATTCTTCGTCTGTGTCTTGGCTTCTGGCGCTGTTTTTAACCATGGGATCATTCAGGTAGTACACACAAGATTATTGGTCAGCAGCCAGCTCAAAAAAGATCACGTGCTTCATGATGCCAGCAGGCAGAAAAATAGTGTGTTTCACGTTCGCCGTCATGGCTACTGGCGGCACTAACAGTAGGACGTTTAGATGCACATACCTATATGTATCGCCAATAAATTGGACTAGAGGACAAGCGCTGCTGCAGCTCAGTTTGTAGAGCATCGGATGCATTATTGAAGCTCGCAGGAGTGGTTCCTACCAGCAGCAAGTTATCATTTTGTTCACTTGTTCACTTTACTTTCTCCACATTTACAGCATAATTACTACAAACTAGATATCCATCACTTCTCTTGGCTTTCTTGTCTCTTAGTTCTACTGAATGTTGTGCTACACTGAGTGCAGCACTATATTAAGGTAATTACAGTACTATTCTGTGATTAAAGTTAACTATAACGAACAAAGGCAAGGCAAACCTTTCATAGTTGACAATGAGAGGAGATGCGTCTATGCATTTCCGCAGGTCATACTTCCACCTTTCAGATAGAGTTGGCCTTTGAAAATCATGGTCAGCTGTCTTCCTCAGTTGATGGCAGCTCTCAGCACAGCAACAATGCTGCCAAGTTTCAAACCTTGTTATGCATGTAAAACAAGATGAAAGCTTCACATGCACAGATTCGGACGACAAGCTCCATGCAGAGATGGGTCGTCTTGCTCTTTTCGCAGGAATGGGATAATTCAGTTGTTTGCGACTTTCTGTCATGGCGTACAAATATTTCTCAACATCCGAGAACTTCTCATTCAGAATCTTGTCCACAAGAAGTGGCAGAGCGATGCCTGAAGCAAACTCCAGTTCCTGTGAAATACTCACGGCACCCAGCGAGTTTCCACCAGCAGCAACAAACTCTGAATCTCCGCAAACAACTGCGCGATCGTTTCTTGTTGTTGAGGCCTGGAAGGGAAAAAAGAAGTGAAGGGGGAACAATGTTTAAAAGATAGTTGAGGCGATAGCATGAAATTGAATGGGACCAATAGAAGTGCTGAGCTCGATGTACGTGCATGTGTAGGTGGTCTACACCTAATAACTCAGAGCTCCACAAAGTGTGCTATGTAATTATTTTGTCAAGTTAAAACCCCAGAATTTAATCTGTCAGGTGCAACATTTAGACAAACAGCATTCATGTTCTTCAGGGAGTCACAATGCATGTGAATGTATGTGCACACAGTGCTGTCCATTTTTGAGAGCTATGCATAACTAACCCTAATTTTGTGCTTCTTCAAAATGTGTTTCTAGATTATTTTTATCAATTTGCTCTCTCAGTGGTGGTACATATAGTTAAGGATTGGGAGCAATTTTTGGAGCAGGGAAAAGCTTGTTTTGGAGCAGATTTAGAGCAGAAAAAAAAGTATTTTGAAGCAGGTTGGGAGGAGTAAAAACAGGATTTAGGATCACTTCAAGCAGGACATGTCAGAACTTTCAGTGAATATTCTTATTGGCGTGCATGATGGGAATATTGCTGCAATGTAAACAAGGAGACAAGGCCAACATACAAAAAGCAGCCATTAATAAATGTTGTTAGCCAACAGTCAGATTCTGACTTTGCTGTGCAGCACAAGGTGTGCACTCAAGAGGCTCACTAATGACGAGCAAAGCATGGCACATACCGTTTCTGTGAATGACACGCGTTATAAGGTCGATCTAAAAAGAAAAAGAATACTAACCAGAAAAACAGCAGTCTCACAACTAAAGAACGTAAACGAAGAAAACTCGTTGCCAATTAGAATAAACTGTTGTAAATTGCCTGTGTAAACAGTTCACTCAGTGTTTGCCCTAACTCACCACAGACGACGCTCCATCGTACTCAATAATTAGCAGAGGTGTGAGCAGCCGTGTGGCATTCTTCTTCATTTTCAACAATTTTGGGCTGAGCACTCGCTTCCGTGTTTCGAAATATTCACGAAACGTCGCCTAAAAAGTAACACTGGTACAAAGAAAACTGGTATGAAGGGGGTGTATCAGCGATCGAACCAAAAATAAAAAAGGGGGAGGAGGCTCTTCTTCAAGACAGCCTTGAGGGCAAGTCCACTTGTCGAAATGTTGACATTAGCGACACCCTGTGTTCCCGAATGTTTTAGCTAAATATAGGCTATCAAGGTGTGATTGGTAGGCGCGAGTTCCTGTGCTACTCACTTAATTGGGGAATAAGTATGGCCTCCTGCGAACAGGCCAGATGACGTACGACAACCGATTGGTAATGAGAAGGAATGCCATCGATATAATCTTTCTTCTTTAATTTTTAGGAGGAGGTGAACGTGACCCTCCTCCCACCACTTCCTACCCCTTGGATCACCCATCGACAGGGGCCTCAAGACTGCGTCCTGAACGGACGTTACAGGGTTCAGCAAGTGCTGAGGACTAATGCCACAACATCCAGTCTGTTTCCTTAATGAACAGTTTTGCAATGCAGTTTGGACTTAAAGGGACCCTAAAACAGTTTTGGCGATTTTGCACAACACATTAGGCCGGCACACCAAGTCCTAAGGGTCATTTGGAGATTAATTCGAGCCCTCAGCGTAAACTATGTAATTTATTACAATGCTTTAAAGCTGTGAATCGCTGCACATTGGTGCAGATCACTGCGACTCGGCAAAACATGTTTTCAACCTCCCATTCACAGAGCAACATGCTCTGGCCACTTGACGTCACTGTGGCTGCCGATCTGATGGGCTGTCATGGGCTGTAGAAGGTATGGAAGTAAGATCGACTGATAGGGAGCAGCACCAGTCAGAGCAGATATGAACAACTCCACAATCTTCGTCTCCGTTGCCGGCGTGCGTGCTGCTGGGCGCATTGTGTGATGGCTTCAGAGACAGCGCGCAACTTGTAGGCGCGCAATCTTGGAGGTCTATAGTATTGGTAAAAGCTCAAAATCATTGAGGGCGCGCTCATGAGAGATCTGCAATCGCCAGCAATGCCAGTGTGCCTCATGAGTTGAGTAGGCCAAGCAGAGGTAAGAAGGAGGGTATGATATAATTGTCCATAGCAGGCTTAGTACACAATGTGACACAAAATTTTTCGTGCAAATGGTTCGGTAATGCTTTAGTCTGAACGCTGACAAAACTTCAAAAAACCGTTCCATGGTCCGTTTATCAGAGCCACCACACACGCTGCAGTTAAGAGTGAGAACTTCCAACAGCAGCGCTCCTCTATGTTCCTCAATTTGCAATTTGCGAACATATGGTGACCACGCTGAGCATGCCCACAAGCATAGTTTTCGACAAGCACGGGAAAAAAATCGGCTGGAAATATTCGCAAGCCATAAAGACTTTGTCCTTTTTTTGTCGATTGATAATAACACCACCTCATTGTTCTAATGGCATATGGGACACATGTGAGCACTTGTTCTTTATTTTTGGTTACCTGCGTGGCTCAGTTTATACAGGCGCTGGCTTGCATGGCGTTATGTTGGTTTCGCAGTCAAGACGTGCAACAAGCGCTTGGATGTGTGCGAGCAGCGGTTGCACCACATCGTGCCAGATGCACTCTACTAGGGAATTTGGGCTTAGCTTTATGACAGGTATACCGAAGTGTGTTGCACAACACAACATAAAGGCATGAACATTTTTGGTGAAATATCAAATTTTCACACTGCTGAACCTTTATTTGTGTGGTGATGCTGTTCAGAGTCCAGAGTGCTGATAACTGTTGTCAATGGGCCACAGTGGCTACGTAAAGGTGTGCTGAGTGACTCGCAAACAAAAAAGATTAACATTCTTACCTCTTATTGCAAGTTCCCTAACAAATAAAAGAGAACGACATGCTAAACTTTCAACAGAGACATGTGGCAATGCAGAAACTTTTGTTATGCTGAATATAATGACGATAAGTGCATCACTGGAATGAAGTGAGGACATCGAAGGCATTATGGAAAATCTTGAGCTCTGTTTGTTGCAACCAATAGTTTCGGGCCGTAAAGGGCTCGATGCCACGTATACAGGTGGACTAGTGAACTTGGAGCACAGTTGGCAGATGCTGAACTCAACTGTGCGCAGGAAAGCACTAGGATGTAAAATTGCAACAAAATGATGTAATTGGTGCAGTTGAACTATCACTGCTCTGTGCGTTTCTATTTTAATATTGCAACAAGTGGAGTTATTGGGAATTTTTGTCATGTTGCATTTGCTATTATACAGGGTAGTGGGACCAGCCAAGCAGCCCAAAGCAGCTTTTATTCTGGCATACTTACTGTTTATGCATGTTTCGTATTAAGTGACAATAAACTTTGAACTTACACTTAACTTATACAGCTACAAAACAGCTTCCAAGTGGTCTGTTTGAGCTTCAGTTCACAAAAAATGTGGGAATATACGAGAAAAGACACAACTAGCATTAAACATACAAGAACTGAACACTCAAGCTGGCACTGAACAATTCCATTGACTGATTGATTGCTCTTTACATACTAACAGAACAAAAACGTTACCAAAACGTTATCAGCAACACCATAGTCGACATCTATCAATTACTCTTGACCACTTGTTTTTATTAAATGTAAACCTGAACCTTCTAGAGGCAAAATGATAGAGGCCAGTGTACCACGCAATGTCAGTGCACTTTGAACACCAGATATTCGAAATTTCTGGAAAACTCCAGAAATATTAATATAATACTACTACTATTAAAGCAGAATCTTGGCTAATAGAACCTTCTATTCAATATCTACTACAATGTAGCAAAAGTAACCTGTAATTTAAATTGGTGACTTCATGATCACCAGCAAACTGTCATAGCCACAAATTGGAAAAACTAACAAAGTACCCCTAATCCTGCCTAATAAGGACGTCATGTTGCCGCTATTACAAGCTTTGAATGTGCCGCCAAAGCCATTGCTATATACTCATTATCAGGTGGCACAATGTCTACACAAGTGATCTTTGATGCCGGAGAAATAGCCTATTGCAAATAAAAAAAGAGGAAGCAGAGGGTAGCTGTGACCAAATGCCTGTATGTAGTATATTTTATGCTAGACCTACATTCCAAAGTCTGGCCAATAACATGCGAAGATCATGCAAGGATCCTAGCAGTCTTTGCTTCTTCTGGTAGGCCATCAGGGCTTCAACATCTATTTTTCCTGTAAAGCAAAATCAGAATCACACCCTCGAATTAGACTCGGAACCCTAAGCACAAGTTGAAAAACATAAAAAAAAAAGAAGTAATAGTTCGCTTAAATAACTACGTCAGTTTACAATGCTACCGACTGTTGAAGGCATTGGCTTTTGCCCCCCCCCCCCCCCCCCCAATGCAGAAATCCTCAAGTACAATAACCAGCTTTCTCCCTTAATCTGTGACTACCGTTATAGTACAACCTGTATCCATAACAATGCACTACCTACATATTAATCACCAAAAACCAGCAAACTTGCTCTATAAACTATTAGCATGGTCCAAGAAGGAAAAAAAAAAACAAATCACCAAAGCATCATGATATTGCTTAGCTCAGACAGTACTGTTCAAGCGAGATTCACTGAAGTAGCTAAAAAAGCTACCACAGTCTAAGGACTCACGGACGTTTAATAATGCTTCCAACAGCACTTTAAGATCCCTTTTTGCCAAATAATGTTTCTGCTCACTCAGATGAAAAAAAAAAAAGAACAAAAAAGCCATGCATGCAAGTTTGACAGCTACGCCATGGTCAATGAATTAATGACATAATGAATAGTGATTATACACATTAAGATATCCACTGCAGATTGATAAGGCTGGCTCAACGGAGCACATTGTTAGTTCGTTGTTTTCATGTAAAGTAGTTATCTGTGGTAAGGCCACCACTCTCTTATTTCGATAGCAGAATCACAACAATCATGGCGTGCCTAATGTTGTGAGCCATTTGGCTTATATCAAAGCGTTCATTAAGTGTTGTAACTTATGAAAATTATATTGATATTCTGCTCTTGAGACACAAGCACGCAACTATCACTGCCAAACAGCATGCTGCAACAAAAAGAGCAATATGTAAAGTACTTGTGCCAAGTTGGAAAACAGACAGACTGAAATGCATCTTGGGCATAACGCTACTGTTGATCACTGCTGACACAGTGCAAGTGTCGCACAGTGACTGTTGCCCATGCGCTCACATGGTCCGCAAGCTTCTGTGGTTGATTGTACAAGAGTTAACTTTTCATCACCAAAATAAGGGAAATTTTTTACATGCTTCTAACTGGCGAGATTATCTTTTTGATCTTGCATAACCAACACTTACAATTGCCATGAAAAGCTCGTATGCATCAGTTCGAATTCTAAGCGCAAAAAATACGGAGACAAAAGGAAGAGACGTAGACAACATGAGCGCAAGTTATGCATATTTACCAACCTGCCCAACTCGCCCCATTCATCAGTGAATCGCGAAATTCGCATCCCAGTGGTCACTGAGAACCACTGCATTAATGTGAAAATGAGTACAAAAATCACATAACCTTAGTAACCAGGACTTAGTAGCAAATAAATCATTACACATTAATATTTATATTTGCATTTAAATATGACGTAAAATTACAGCATAACAACTTTTATTATTTTGTAATACTAAAAAGTGATTACAGTACATATTAATGCTGGAATATGTTACAAAAGAGGTCTATACACGACCAAGTCATAGGGTCACTTGAAGTGCTTTGAGTCAATCTACAAACAGAGTGAGCAGAAACTAAAAGAACAGCAACACTAAAATGGCTATAAAATTGTTGCAGCCCAGTGACATTTCCACCCTTGTTAAAGTGGCAAACAATGCAATCAAAATGACTACTCTCACAGAAAGCATGCAGCTTAGCCTAACACAACAAAAAGATATAAGCAGATGAAAGGCAAGCACAAACCATGGCTTGTGAGAGGCCATCTGGGAACAACTTCAACCTGGAAGGGGCACTGACACTCCTTTTGAAGCCTTTGTGTCAACTGACTAGTCACAGCCTGATAAATGCAAGTAGGATGCAAGATTACAAAAAAGTACAGTGTCTGTTCTGTTTTAGAGAAGTAGGTGTGGCAGCTTTGTATCGTTCCCATTTCCAGGAGCTGTGTTGCAAGGTATGAGGGGTTGACCTTCTTGCCGTGATACTTGAAGATCGAGTCTTTCCTTCCCAAGAAAATTAATCCATCGGAAGATTTCCTGACCCTGTCACCAGAGCAGCGCATTTGGCAGGAATCCAGGTTTTTCCACTCTTCATTTCCAATCAGGCAACGCCGTTCGGATCCACCTGAATGCAAGAGAGGCATACACCTTTTGCACAACACTAAAGACACAAAAACAAGTGACATACAGTGACTGGGGTATGACAAACCGAAATCATAGATGAGGAGAAAAGCAAATGTGTGGCTGTATGGTTCACTGGAGTGTATTACAACTCTTTCATATCAAAATATTGTATTTGTACAAAATATGGGTTCTTAGCTGAAATGGCACGCGTCTTGAACAATGACAATAAGTTATAGAATTAGATATGCTACTCCGGATCTCAAGTGAAAGAAAATGGCTAGTATCTTACCAACAAAAAGAGTGCCCTCTCCTTCGTCAATGAGTGCTCCAGAATCATCTCTCACTTCCAGCACTGTACCATACAGAGGTGTTCCCAATGGTATAACTCTGCGAAAGCACAATGCAATATGAATGCCTAAATATTGAGTGTGAGGATAATGTAGCTAATTGATGTCATTTACTATTCTAACATCCCATTATACAATACAGAAAGATGGCCTCCGATTATCAAATGTGCACATAAACATCTTGCCGTGATGTTGATATAGAATATAAAACCACGAACAAAAAAATGTAAACATGCTAACAGCAAACATCCTTCTTTCTTGATGCAGGTAAAGAGCACACATCAGTCATGTCACCCTCAGCCTCCTTATGTTGTAATTCACTAATTTATTCACTAAACCCAATACTCCACTATCTTCATCTGTGTTTCCTCCTTTTGGCACCCATTATGTAAACCTAATATTTCCTGGTTATCTATTCTATGCACTAAATGACCTGCCTAGCTCAATTTTCTCACAGTGGTGGCACAGGTACATGGGTTTGGAAGAAGTTTTGGGAGCAGGCAAAAGTGCCTTTTGTAGAAGGCTTGGGTCATCCAGAAAGACGTTTCGGAACAAAATTATAGCAGCCAGAAAGGCCTTTTCGGGCAAGGAAGACCATTCAGACCAGGTGCAACGCCGTTTCACAGTACTAGTGAAGCAGCATTCGGCAAACACTAGACTAAATGGTGCAGTAGCCTTATTTAGCTATGTATGTACACAAGCTTGCACTGTGAATTTCATTTCGTTTTATAGTTCGTCTCCAATTGACCAGAGTTGTGCTAGGTAGTACGATTCCCACAAAAATATGCTCGTGTCCTGGAAATTTTCTTCTATATTAAACTTCCCTAGAACTGCAAAACAATTTTGCCATTTTGTTATTTTGGTACTATGCAATACTAGACACAAAAGACCATTCCTCTCAAACTATGTTTTTGTACAAAAGACATCTTGAAGCAATCAGCTTAAATATACATGTAAAAGAAAAAAAAAGAAGAACTTGGTCTCAACACGTGCGAGACTTCCATTCTCGTTATTCCTTCTTTCTTCAGTAGCACTTAGAACCAGGTGAGCCAACCTCGATAGCTGATCACAACCTTGATGAAACCAAAACTACAACCACTTTGATAAAACCAATAACAGGATGCTAACAGGATGCTGTCGCACCTTGCAGCTAAATTGGGGTGCTGCAGTGCAGTATGATGCTGATAAAACAGCTTGAAGCAATAGGGGTGATTCCACGCAGGATGGCATCAGTAAACCAGTTTGGCACACAATGGCACAGCTGTTCCACCTTAATTGCTCTATGCTTCATATTGCCGGTTTTATGCCCTTTAACATTATGCCTAACATATTCCATTCTAATTATCATTGCAAAGACCTCATGTTTCTAAATTAGTCACATGGATATTCAATGAACAATAAACATGAAGTTGTGCACATGCCCTGTGTTGGTAGCACTAATCCTACAGTACGAGGCCCAGCATGACACCTCTGTGATTCCGTAGAGGTTGAAGATTGCGGTCCTGTTTCCTGGCTGTCTCCACAAATTTATACAGGCTCCAGAAGGGCACTCTTCACCACCAAGAGCCAAGACACGTAAGCATGAAGCTTCACTTAGCAGCAAGTTCTGGATGCGATCGAAACCCAAGCTTTGAACAAAGCTCGGTGTTGCCTGTGAAAACAATATAAAAGAGTGTGAACTTTTTCATTCAACTTTCTCTAGCTTGAAGCTGCAATCCAGGGGCATGATTCTTAATGAGTCCACCTAGTGCACATGTCCACTTCGGCTGAGCGCATTCGATTAGTCGGCAGCACATTTCCAGCATAGAGATAAAATGGATGAAATGTATAGTAACAGGACACTTAAACAAACTTGACAAGTCTGAGCTTGCACATGAATGTGCTGAAATGTTTGAGAACGATGCAGGAAATGTGTGCTGAGCATCCAGGTACGTTAGGCAGGCTGCTGCATTAAACCTAATTCAAGGGCTAGCGTGATTAGCTTTTATGCACGGCCTCCAAGATAAGCTTCCCAGAGTGGATCTCTAGGGGCAGCATTCATTGTGGCGAAATGAATTCAGTCTTTTTCATTTGTGTCGAGAGTTATGAAAGCTTCGCAACGTTAAAGTGACATGGAAGAAACATGCGCGCTGCTCGTCGAGCTCTAGCCCATTAGAAAGGCCGCAGCGGACAGTCCACAAGGTGGACACTTCGAGAATCGCGCCCCAGACTTTCAACATCTTCGAATGATATACGAATGCGAGTTTAAGCACTGTGCCTAAGTATTGACATCTCTAACTTAAAGCACACACTGGAGCTATAGCCGAGCACAACTTTTGAAGGCAATAACATTTCCTCCTCATAGGTGGATAAATGGGGATCAGTGCAGGTGGGCCCACATTTTAAAGCAATGTCGTGAGATGGGCGGCTAGTGACTCCACTGTTCGGTTCATGAGTGGGGCTATTTCTTCCGTCATAGAGGCAATAAGCAGTCGTATTTCAGTCACCTGGGCAAGGCACTCTTGCCTTTTCAAGTCGTATCTCTCTATTGCTATAGACGTCAGACTCTGAAGTTTTGCAGACACGTAGTGCCACCTACCTACGCAGTTTTGAGTAGTGCAAAGCCCGACTCTCTTGCACAGTTTGCTGCGCAACTAGGTGCAACTAGCGCGGGCGAAACAACGATTGAGCTAAATATTAAGTGTGTTTGCGCAATGAACACTCAGAAAAAGAGCTACGAATTTCTCTGTTCTAGTCGGATGCGCCACCAAACCACCATGACGGGCTTGTTTATTCACTCACCAGAGCGATGGTGAAAACAAGAGCAGATGCAACAGCTCCGTGCTCAATGAAGAAAGACCTTCGTCGAAGCTACTTCTGCATTGTGAATCACCACAGACGCAATAGATTCTGTGCGTAAAGGACTTCAGTTTTACCTATTCCCATAGCTTTCGCAAAGCAGAAAGGTGAGAGTGCTAGACGCAGGCTGTTACATAAGCGAATTACTCGCGTTCTCCACAGCCGGTCGCATGACAAAGTGTGATGATATAGGTCTCCTGTCATAGGCGTATTGGCCTGGGGGGGGGGGGGGCGGTTAGGGGGGTTGAGCCTTCCCCACTTTCAACAGAAGGCACTGTATCTACACGCTGGGGAAACCAACAACCAAGGCAAAGTTTTCCTTCACCACGATAATCACTCAGTTATATTATTACGGGGGAATGTTACAATATAATTTTCTAACATTCATTCTGTGCCGATTTTCCTTGTCTCTTTGCAGTGCGGGCCAACTATACGACATGGTTTCTCACCTTGTGCTGTAGCATTACAGATCAAGCTAGCGCTAAAGAGGGGCCCTGTAGCATTACATCAATTGTTTATGCTTTTATTTTGCTTTGACTGAGCGATGAAGTTAAGGATGGGAACGAGTAAACTTTTTATGCACCAGTCAAAGCATTTGCTGCTTCAGGAAAATCATTTTCTTTCATTGAAGCTGCTATGCGGAATCTGCTGTGAGCCGATCAATCTACTGTGAGACGATATCTTTTTTAATGTTTTAGTGTTTTCTACAAGCACCAAAAAGAAACGTTTCCGCTTAAGTCTCCGATAAACCTGATCAGCCCTGCTTATGTTAGCTTGGAGCAATGGCGCAGCTTGAATAGTGGCGATGAATACAGCAGTGAACTCAGACGGAAGCTCAGCGTTAAATCTTGTCGTCGTCCCCCCCCCCTACCTTGACCTACCAGACCAAAAAGAAGGTGAAAGACTGGGTTTTCGCATCATGGAGGCTCAATTAGGAGTCAGGCTAGTTAATTTTCAATTAACTAGAATTGTCTTTTGTAGATTAAAATACAACTTGGGCAGCAAAAAAGCACGCAAGTGCAGCGCTGCCTAGTTCGTTCTCTTTTTTTCCTGTCTCTCTCAGGAAGGACGAGATCACTTATGTATACACGCACAAACTTCTAAATGCCCTTATGCTGCAAGTCTACATATTTTATTATACTCATATCAATCCATCTCTGCCAGCTGCCATAGGTATAGCTGCTGCTAATGCGACCGCAGGCTGGCCTACTTGAATTACATTTAGAAGGAGATGCCCTTCAGCTATTACAAAGAGTGTTTGGTATTGATCAGCATGTGAATTCACTGTTTATTCTGCATAGATTGTAATAAACACCACGACATTTCACAGAATCGTGACGCAATGTAACAAGCAAGCGATTTTATGGTACACAGAAAATTGTAAATGCCGAAGAACCAATGGCAAACAATATGCCGCATTGAAAATAGTTCATTTAATTTTTTTTATGTGGTCGTTCATAAATGGTCACTATGCGATGGATCATTTTCACATCATTTGTGGCCTCGTGTAACAAGCTGGTGCTTTGTGCATGGTTTAGAATGTTTTGACCAATCATATACAGCTAAAGACCATTCTGAAAGGAAGAAACAAGGTATAGTTTAACGTTATAATCAACCACATTTTTTTTCTTTCAAAGTAAAATTTTGATTACACCGTTTGTATTCGCGCATTTATGCAGGTGTCTGGGGGGCCCTTTAAGAAATGTTAATAAAAATTTGATGAGCGTAAACAATGTGCTTCACCCTGTGAGGCAGCTGCGCGTCACAGGACTACTTTTGGTTACGATGGACAACATGAGCGAGGCCGACCCTTGGGCTAAGTAAGGCTGCCATATCGCGGTGCGTTAATGCATTGACGAAATTGCACTTATATTGAAAATGCACTGAATGAGACACGCGTGGCAGTATGTCTTGCAGATGCTAATCAATGAAATGGTGAACTACTTTACCGCTCCAAGGGAACGACACTCCCCTGCTGTCGTCCTCTTGTTTATAAGACATATAAGGCACATTTGTGCAGCAGTTAGGAGGTGTGGCCGTTACGCAGCGGATAGCGTGCCCAGCACTTGTGGAGACGGATTGAGGAGTCATTAATTCAATGCTTCTTTTCTTGACGGAGCTTTTTTTCTTAGACATGTGGCTACGTACATTTTTTCGACATCGTTTCCAAGATGTAAATACGTCACTGAAGTCTTAGTGAACCCCTGCACATTTAACTATATCGTGTTAAATTCCATGAGCGGTGGGAATACATTTCATGGGAAGCTTTCAGCGAGTACTCGTCTACGCAACATTTCTGATTTTCTTTTGCACAGGCTTTACGGGGTGAATCGACGTGTTCTTGTCAGTGTGGTAGTTGTGGTCCACTACATTGGCGTTTGAAGGGGAATTTATAACCTGACGCAACCTCAGCACTCACGTTCAGGGCACTGATGTAAATAATATGAAAATGAAGGACACACTATGGTGCGATAATTTTAATATCATTCATCAGTGCATTCCACCGTTCTCCAACAACGCTTAATTATAGCTTGACGAGTAATATGAGTGCATATATAATGTTTACGAGGACTGTCATAAGAGCGGAGCCGACACTGAAAACACATTGATGCTAACCCGACATGACATGGGTGTGTATATTAAAGGGCCACTCACCAGGTTTGACAATTTTGAGCTGACAAGCGCAGTGCGTAGACGAGGCTTTCATGATCACGTCTGCCAAAATCTGCTACGCTACGCGCCGCGGAAATGGGTCAAATTTCAAGATGAAACATGCTCCTCCTCCACTCTGCCGGCGCACGCGTAGAGAATGAGGGCATGACGTGGGCGTAGGAATGGTCCTACGTACACGTCGATGCGGTGACGTTGGTCCTCTACGTAGACGACTCTGCTCTGACGTTGTCAACAGTAGACCACATGACACGGCAAAAATTATTTAACACAACATGCGTAGTTTATGTATTTGTTGCTTTAAGAGATGAATAAAACTTGAAATAAATAATGAGACGCAATAAAAAAATTGTGCGCGTCTTTCTTACATTTTTTCTCGTGAAATTCTACAAAATGTGGGGCTAATGTGCCAGCGTTTCGCATGCGTTCGGGTCCCCACGGTCATCGCTTTGAGCAGACGACCATCGTGGAACGTTCCTACGCGTTCGCGCACTCATTGTGCTCATCTACTCTACCGCGTCTAAGTCAGCATTTCCAAACAATCCCGCAGAAACAGGCAGAAGACCACAAAATAACGCTGGTCAACAAAGCAACGCTGCTGGCGTGCACGGGGGGCTGGGCTTGTTCGGGCACGTCATGCGCACGTCACCTCTTGGTCGGATGCCGGAAAGGGTGGGGAAGAGATTTGGCTTGCTAACGCTACACGGAGGAGCGGCAAGGGTTTTGAGCTCGCCTACTCTCACCCTCGTTTCGCACTGCTTCAAAAAACCTGTTTTCTCCGCTCGTAATGAACCATTTCGAAAAATTTTTGTGGCAAAACGTTCCTCATCGGACACCAAACAACTTCCACCTTCTAACTAAAATTCGGTATCCGGCCTGGTGAGTGGCCCTTTAGAGTACCTATGCAATGTTTATGTCCATGTATATTTATATCACTTGCACTGTAACCATAATGATTTAGCACCAACTTGATGTCCGCACGGTACCTTTTCCAAAGAAGATTCAAGACCTTGCAGGGTTTCGTGGTAGAATACGTGACTGCCACACGAAATTCTTGGGTTCAGTTGCTGTTGGGATCTTGGTTGTTATTCTTTACAGTCGTCGGGTCAAGGCTGCTGATGCCGGATTTTTTAAAGGTTCCCA